AAAAAAAATAGTATAACCAGTGAGAAAATATTAATTAAATCAAATTTTCCCTCCCTTTGCCCTATTCACAATGTCTTCATCTACTATTTTCATATTTGCTATATATGTGAAGTGAGACTAAAATTTCATCCAGTACTAGTACTTTGTTTGGTCTAATTCTTTAAAGATCCAATAGAACCATTTTCTTAATAGAAGTACTTTTATACAGATATAATTATTCCTAAGGGAAAAATTTAATTGACTATTTGGGAAGAAACAAGGACTGATGTCCCATTATTTTCTTCAATACAAGTGCAGATTCTTATTAGTTCAAGCCAGTTCACACCAGATTTGACTTAATAGTTCTGATTTTTAATTTGGACAAAGAAAAGCCACTAGTACTGTACTTGATAAATAAGCTGTCACTGAATAGTTCAATAAACAGGTACAGGAGGAATTTTTTGTGGCAAAATTAAGTGAGGTTTGTTTATATGGACAAAGAGGCAGGTAGAAAGACAGTTGGACAAACAGACAGTAATATAATCAGACAAACATACCCCCAGATGATTCCCAGATTTTCTCCGTTAGACTAGGACTTGACTAGAAATGGCAGAAATTAGTACATCACTTATTTTTCTTCCAATCTGATTTGCAAATTGACCACTTTTCAGCCTATCAAACCACAAACCATAAATCAACTACTATTTAGTGCAGATTCTGTGTAACCCGATCCATGAATCAACATGGTGTAAAAGTAGAACAAAAACTCTGCAACAAGCTTCTTCACATTACTAATTTGATTTATTGTCATTATTGGTTTTTTTCTGCTTGTGCACAAATTCTTTTTTTTTTACCATAATTAGCCTGAATGACAGAGCTGCAGTAGTGAAAGCAGGAGATATAGGTTTACAAGACTTGATGGAATATGGACATCTTTTTTCCAGTCAGATTGACGGTTTACCAGTTTGAAGCACCTTCCCCAAAGGTCCATTAGTCTGTAGGTTTGTTGGTCTGAACCTGACAAGCCAGAAGGCTTATTGGTCCAAAATATTTTCAATTTTGCTTCAACATTCATTGTTTTGAAGGCTCTATTTTGATTTACAACAGAAAGTATCATAAAACGAAAATGATGTTGTTAATAACGAGACATTTTCTGAACTGACTTCTAAACTCTAACTGATGGACACATGGATTACCTGTTCCTTCAAAACAATGAACTGAGTGTGGCTGCTAAAATCAAATAGCTGACTATTTAAAAGACATTTTTAGATCGCATTCCCAGAGATTTAGATCAATCCAACTAAATCGACCTAACTCCCTGGGGGTTCACTCTAAATTGCTGTCAGCCGACCACGCACGGAAGTTTATTATCCCCTTACAGCTTTTAGTAGGCGTAACAGACATTTAAGCCGGCTAAGCTGACAGGTATCTGGTGAGACTCCCCATGAGGATAGATCGATATAAAACCTGTGAGAATGGGGTCTAAGACAGTACTCCAAGAATGGCCCAAAAGTGACTGACTCACAATGAATGCACTTGACATACTTAAATTTGTAACTGTTTCCAATGAGAGTATGTCTTTTTCAGTGCCATCACAATTTTATCTTGGCGATCAGTAAAAAGCTGAAAAAAAATTAGTAATTTCTTATTTGGCAAAAAGCCATAACAGTCCTTGCTTAAGGACTTGAGTCGATTTGAGAAAATGGCTCCTCGTGCAGGTTTTCTTGCCAGAATAACAGGATAACGATGACAGGCTGAGGCATTCATCTTTACTTATTGACCACTTGAAGATGTCTTCAATCAAATACATCAAAGAAAAGACATGAAAGTAACATAGTTTCTCCCCTCATGTTTGCTGAAAACCTCTTCTCTATAGTTAAAATGTACATCAGAAGCACTGAGTGATACATGCTATTTACTTACGAAACTAGAATTTTCTACTGGTCTTACACGAAAGCCTATTTATCTGCATGTAATGACTCGATCTTTTCAACAGGAAAAATTGCAAATTTTGTAAGTCAAAAATTCTTCGGATTAGAACATTCCTATTGAGTGGTAGCAACATAACTGAAAAAGCAGGCTACTTTATAGTTCTTTTCTATACAGCAAAAGAAACTCAAATGCTTTATAGAAATATAATTTTTATGATTCAATAATGATATTCCTGACCAATTGATAGTTTTTCCCCCACTAAAAAGATCCGAGTTCATGATGCAAACTGACTTGCTCATCTCTTCCATGCCTATGTTAAGACAATCAGACTGGTAGCCATGGCAGCAATTTCAAAGATGATGAGGGTCCTTTTTCTAAAAAAGTGAATGTTTCTGCCCACTAAATTCACTCAGCTCAAAAAATGGCATAAAACCTCGATTTTTTTATTATTATTTTTGCGAGCAGACATTTTCTGGCCAAAAGGGTGGACTTCTCAAACCCCCCTCCCCAATACCCTCCCTGTCCCTGCCTTTAGGACTCTGTGTATAGAAATAATAGGTAAAAATTGCAACCTTGAGTCATTTATTATAAGCATTTTATACCATATAAACTTATCTCCATACAGTCCAGATATTGTAATTATTATTATACGGCACAACCAAACAAAGAAAAGAATGCACATGACACAATATCGACAGAGTTCTGATGTAGCAAGAACCTACATGAAAAGATGCTGTGAGCACAG